ACTTTTTATTTTTAATTTATGATAATTTATCTTTTTTATAGTTTTTAGAAATGCTTATGATTGATAATTTTTATATTTTTCTTTTGTATATTAGTTCCACAATCGTTCTAGCCCACATTAAATTCGTGTCACGCCTTCACTCAACAATGCGTTCAAAACATATACATATGTATGTGTGCACATTTACATATTTTATTTTATAAAATAATTCCCTTTTACCCCCTCGACGCCAGAAAACGTTAAAAATCGTTATATTTTTTTTCCACCAAAAAAATAAAGCTTTCACAAAAACACGTAAATCTTCAGGGTGAGCAGTCTAGTATATAGTGCTAAGTCCATCAAATTCAAATTACAAAATCGTTGAACGCTTAACTGCCGCACCTGCAAATTACTCGAGAGCAGCATGCAGTTGGTCTTCAAATATAGATATAGCCTGGAATACAGACATATATATGTATGTATATTTCAAAGAGCCTCCATTAAATCTACAATGCTTCGCTTCAACAACAAAGTACCAACTTTTTATCAACTTCCTCATACCATATAAAGTTTCACGAAGTTTCAAAACATAGCTCGCGATCAAGCTATTTTCCTCACAACGAATTTCAGAGCTTTCTTGTTTGTTCGCAGCAGCGACCAGCTATTTTCACTGCGTGCTTTAGCAGCATACATTTTCATTTAAAAAAAAGTCCAATACAATTTTTAGTCTGTTTTACTTTTATATTTTGTATTTATACGGAAATTTAAATTTATCGCTAAGTTAATATACATACAATTTCTTTTAACTACAAAAACCCACTTCAAATAAGCGCGAGAATTAAAATATTCCCATTATTTCTAATTTTTCTAAACATATACATGCGTATGTTTGTATGTTTTGCCAAAAAAACATACACCAGTTTAGTACTTAGTCGCGTTTTCGCAATAACTGTGTAAAAGTGTAAGGCGCGTACAGCACAAATTTTATCTCCCTGCATTTGACTTTGCTTTTTCAAAAAATATTTACTTTTATTGTTGCGCATAAAAATTCCAAAAAGCAATTGATATAAAAATTGCTGCTTATGTGAGCTTCATAAAGTTGACGGATTATATTCCACAAGGTATTGTCAGACTTTATACATAGATAGTTGCTGTTTCAAAACAAAAAAGTGGCGAGTTAAATGCATCCAACAAAGCTCCTCAATTCTACGCAATAAATGGGCTGTAATCAGCTTTTACATAGTACATATGCAGCTGCAGTTCGTTTTGCCTACAGCTTTAGCGTTCAAATGTCAGCTAATTGTTTATTTCGATTTTACTGAGCTCCTCTGCATGACGAGTTATGGGCTGCGATGCGCTCCAAACGCAATTTTAGTGCAAAATACAAAAACTCATTTTCAGCAAAGTCCCTTATTTCTTCAAAAACTGTGTATGCATGACATATAACCACAGACAATGAGCGAAAAGTACATGAAACACATATGTTTGTATGTATGTATGTATTTGAATATAATTAACTTTTGCTTTCACATTACTTAACACACAATTATTTAATCGCCGTTCACTTACGACATACATACATATTTCATGTTTGTTTTTCTACTGTTTTACTTGTAATTATTTAGTTTTTTTGCGCATTTTTTTTCCATGAAGAAAATGTATACATAGTACATATAATTTTACTATTAGATACATACATAATTATTATTGTTATTGTTTGCTGTTGCTGTTACAGTTGCTGCATGATTTTTGCTTTTTATATAATGCAGTTTTTACTCGTCAGAACCAAGGTACGAATGTACGAAAGTATCGGAAAGGGCATACATACGTACGTACAACGCCGACAGCGCTGATGTGTGGGAAAACAATCAATTTAACTCATCATCAATATACAAATGTACTTTATAACATTGAGTAATTGAAATCGTGCAACATCAATGCATGCATACATCCAGTGGTATATATCTACATATTTATATATTATATATAAATCTATAAATTTTGTCTACATTTAGTCAATACTCTAATTGCTTTCATTTTGCTCTACATTTTGGCCCATTTTTTTGTTTGTTTTATTTTTCGCTCTCCGTTGTTGTTGCTGGTGCTATTTTATTTGTTGGTGTGGTAGGTTGATCTACTGTTGCTGGTGCTACTAATGTTGTTGTTTTGTTAACTGTTGCTGTTGCTGTGACGGTGCTAATGCCTTCCTGTGCTGCTGGCGCCAAAGATGTGGAGCTCGTCGCTGCTGCAAGATTTGTAGAGGAGTTGGAGGAGGTGAAGGTTTTGGCGTTACTGCTATCCGTTTCATCGGCTGCTGCCGTATCGCTGGCACTGATCGTAGCATTCGCATCGGTTGGAGTTTCCTGGAGAGAAAACGAGAGGAAAGAGTGTTAAAAACAAGTAAAATATGAATTTTTTTGAAATGAGGTAGAATTTGATAAATTAATAAAAAGAAAACTTTTTGTAAAAAATATAGTACACAATATCAGAGAAACTATAATTTTATAAATGAAAAGTTGCAAACTTTGTGGAAAAGTTAGAAAAAAATCAAACTTTCACAAAATTTTCAAATTTTTTAGGAAAATTTCAAGTAATGAGTTTCATAACGAGGGTTACGTAATTTGACTAATCCCAAATCCAAAAACTAAATTAATTTCTGAGTTGAAAGTCGTATGAAATCCTAAGGGCCGTTTTGCAAAGGTTTTACAATTTATCTGCCTTTCAAAAACAATTTTCAGTACAAATTTGTTTTCAAAGGGCAGACAAATTTTAAAACCTACTTGAGAAAACGGCCCTAAATAATATAAATTTAATATTTATTCGACGAAAAATATCACAAATAAATTTTATTTCTTATTTGCTCGACGAATATTATTTTAAATTTCGTCGATGAATCAAATCACAAATCGAGTAGATTTCTTAACTAAAGCAGATTTAAAATTAAAAAGAAATTTAAATCAAGCAGCCCTGTTTAGGACCCACTAAATTTTAGTGCAAGTTTGAACTTGCTCAAAATTCTGGTTGATTTTTGATAATTTCTTTCGTACCCTGCTGCGCGTTTTCCTCCATATAAAAAGCATGCGTTATATATAAAAAAAAAAACCGCACAAGACCGCAAAAAAAATAAAAATAAAAAAAATAAACGGGAATTCTGGGCAGCTTCAAACTTGCACAATATTGTACTAAAATTAAATGGGCTATAAACTGCTTACGCGAAATTTTCCAAAAAATTTTGATGTAAATTTTATGAATTTTTCTAATTTTTACGAGCTCTAAACATTTATTTACATAGTTTTTTTTTTGATTTTGTCTGAACTATATTAAAAAACAAATAGTTTTTTATTAATGTACGAAGTTCTACTTCATAAAAAATAGTGGTGCTATGCCTGGCCGCCCTAGTGCATGTATTAAAATTATGTAGAGTGAAAAAGATTAAAACGCGTTCCACATGCGTTAGAATTGTCGCGGCGGAGTAGGACAGTTTCATCATCCAGTGTTCTCTTGGGATTAAATGGTCTGTGAACTGCCGACTGGTTGAAGATCCCCGTAACACAGAATTAGTCCTATTCACTAGGAAATATTAGATACCCCAAACTATTCTACTCTCAATCAGGGGCATTCTTCTGTGGCTTTCTGATAGAATCAGTAGATAGTACTCGTGGTTGATTCTAGATGGGAAGCTGTCGTGGAAGCCTATATACATATAATGTCATAGTCCGGACTTTATTATGAAATAAATATTCAATCCAAATTTGGTTATTCAGCATGATTCAATAATAGAAAGGTTTTGTAATAAAACAGTCTTCTCGCTCCCACACATAAAGTCGGCTCCTTTACTTGTGCAGAATGTTGCTTACTCTATAGTTTCTAGTGATATTAGTAGTAAAACCAAAAATTCTTCATACTAAATATTCGTTGGCGTCACCTTCGTTTGCGTAATTTTCTAGAACAAGTGTAGAATAGCGACCGTTTAGCTATAAAATAACCAAAAATGACGATACCAAATTTATTTGGCGTAGGTAAAAAATAAAGAAGATATAAGAGGTTTATTTGTATTTTTTATTATCACTAAATTGTTGAAACCCAAAAGTAGATCATGATAAAATATGTAATATCGAATTAAAGATAATAACTTGTACTTTCTAAATAATATAAATTTCTTTACCATTAATTATCTAGTTTTTTCAGAAAAGGTTATTTCATGAAAAAATAACATTTGTTCGTTTTTTAGTGGTTTTGGTTTAAAAATACAAAAAGCTGAAGAATTAATTACCTTTATGGTGACGTCATTAGTTTTGTAATCGGTTATAAAGTTCAGAAGATATTAATATTTAAAATATCTAAAAACTGAACTTTAACCTTCTAGAACCTCTTCATTTTTTACTTGCGCCAAAACATTTTGGCATGGCATTGAAATGAGCATAAAAAGTTCTATTGATCTGCATTTTTCGTTTTTGCATAGCTGAACGGTCGGTAATCTAGATTTGTTCCCGGAAATGACGAATAACTTAAATCAAAAATGCATATTTTTATGTATTGTTTAGTATTTCCATTAAAACACCAAATATATTGCAAATTCGCATATAATTCATAATACACATTTTACTTCTAATTGTATACTTTGCGTACTTTTTGTAGTACCATTCCATTACCGTTTTCGCAAAATGCGATTACATTCTTTCCCATTCTCCTACTTCCAAAATACAAATCTAGATAAAGGAGTGTCAAATGTTAGCTGTCATAAATTACCCAACCCTGTATTACTGAATCATGGTTATTCAGTATGGTTTTTATGTTTAATTTTCCAAGAACGAAATGGATAATACCGTAGAACAAATCAACCCAATTATCATTTACTCACCAATTTTGCTTCAACTCGCTGACGTTCATGCATAGCATTTAATAATTCACGTAAATGCTGATTCTCCTTGCGTAGACGTTCTCTTTCCATGTCGCGTTCATTAATCTTTGGCTAAAAGAAAGTAATTATAAAAAAGAATGCGAAAGAGTTAAAAAAGGTGACAATTTAATTAAAGTGTAGCTATAATTTTTGTATATCGATGTCGTTATCGATTCAATTATCGAAAAATTGATCGATATACATATGTCTAGATATATCTACTAAGAAATAATTACGCATTCAAAATCCGATATAGTTGTGGAGTTTTATCGACAGTATGTATATTTATTTATATCGATAAATTTATCGCTCGCTATCTGTTATCTTTGCTCTCTATAATACTTTAAATTTACTTATGTTAATGGCTTAATATATCAAGGGCTTATATTTAATACCCTCTATCTGCGTTTTTCAGACGTTGGCAGAAGAATTTACTTTTATATTGCAAAATCAGTCAGTGACGACAGATAAGTCCCAGATGGGTTCTAACATCACAAAGTAGTTTTTGTGAAAATTGCAGATAGAGGGTATTGAATATAAGCCCTCTATATCTTGCAATGCTAATTGGTAGCAAAGCATAATTTTACACTTCCTAATCCGAAGAAGTTACACATCAAAAGGCACCCAATTCACTTACCAAAAGTAATGAAATTTGCGAATTCAGTGAGCTGACAATCGTATTCAGCGCATGACAGGGCACGCTTGGCTCCAGTGAGTTGGCGTGCTGTATGCGATTCGGTCCGCAGTGCAAAGGAAGATTGATACTCGCGTTGATGGTTGCGGCACTTGTGGCCAAAGTGGTTAAGCTCATTGTCATTGATGATGTCTGTGTGGAGTTATCAACCATGGCTAGTGCGTTTTTCAGCTTGCTGCTCAGCGTCGACTGTGTAAAGGAAACATAAAATAAAAAAGTGAGATTTACTTCTGTAAAGTTTTTATTGAAAATTGCAATGTCATACCAATGTTTCATAGGCGTCATTGACTTCCATGTGCTCGTTGGCGGCTTTGTTTTTGCCTGCGACTGCGCTTGCTCCTGTTGTAGATGCATCAATTTCTGTTGGCTTTGCTGAAGCGTCTGCTACTAGTGCTCCCGTTTCTTTTCCGCCGCGCACAGCAGCGGCATCCGTCGTAGTTGGCTTGTCATCTGTATGCTCAGCGCCCTGTTCACTACTTTGCGGCTCTGCGGCGTCAGTGGAAGCTTTCTCTGTTAAATCGCTTGTGACTGTTGGGGTTATGTTTTTTGTTTCCTCTGCTGGTTTACATTCGCTTGCTTCCTTCTTTTCACCGATACTTGTTCTCTCCTCATTAACTTCAAGCTTAACCTTTAACTGTTCCGTCTCCTCCTTTTCCTCCTTCTGTGTCTGTTCGACTTCGGAATCTATCGCCTTCGCAACTTCTTTTTCGCTTTTTACTGTCTCCACCTCGCCGCTTGCTGGCGCGCTCACTTTATCTTCGCTCAGTGCTTGGGTTACCTCATCGGCAGATTCTTCAGGAATGCTATCAGCACTTATTGTGCTTTGCCGTTTCACCAACTCAGCTGCGTTCGTTTGCACCACAGTTGTTGAAGTGTTTTCCTCTGGAAGCATCGTGCTTGCGGTCGCCGCATTGGAAGCGCTCTTCTTCTCCGCCTGCTGCTGCTGGGTTGTTGCTGGCGGTGGTGGCAATGGCGGTGCTTTCAAAACGCCAACCGGTGGTGGCAAAGGTGGCGGAGGCGAAGAAACTTTGGCTGCCTTTGAAGCGAGCGTTGGCGGCAATGCCGGTAACCGCAGTTCGTCAATCTCGCAATAGCCGTCGTCGTCTTCGTGTATGTCCTCGTCCATCAACGCGTTTTGCAGCACTGTGCGCGCGCTGGTAGGCGTTTTTGCGGTGGGTGTTTGCTGTTGTGCGATCTGCTTATTTGGTGGTGGTAGCGGTGGCGGTATGTCCGCTAATGAAGGCGCAGCTGCAGTTGCGGCGCCACTCGTCGCTGCTATTTGTGTTGTAGTCGAAGAGCTAGTGGAATTCATTGTTGAAGTTGACGACGAGTTCGATGAGGCTGCTGTGAGCGGCGTCAGCGGTCGCTGGCTGTGGTGATGATGATGATGTTGTTGCTGTTGCTTTTCATGGCATTGATCGCAAACGGCCGTGGACACGGCGGATATTTCTTGTTCGTGCGTCACATGCATATACTCATTGAGAACCTCGGTTAGTGATTGCACCTGTGCATACGCTGCCAACGCAATGTCGGCGCTGTCTTTGGGCGCTTCTGGCATTGCCGCAATGTCGACGATCTCATGGAAGTGCTCCACCGGCAACCTGAACATATCACAAATGATTTTCTGCTTCTCCAAAAGGCCTTCGCGTATAGAGGCGTCAAGGCGGCGGAGTCGTTCGGCCGGTGTGAGTACCGGCTCAGCGGTATGTGCTGGACTAATGCTGATCTGTATGGCGGTGGGCTCGACCAGTGGCGGAGACGATTGCATTAGCGTGCGCGTATTGTTCGAGTTATTTGAGTACACAATGCTGGCGCTGTCGCGTTTTGAACCGCTGCTGATGCTTGCGCCGCTGACGCTCGACCCAAACTCATCCACACCGGCGCCCGCATTGTGACCGTTTGCCTGGCGGGCGGATTGTGTGTGACGAAGTGTCACGCTTGAGTTCTCGTATCCGTCGTTGTTGTTATTGGGTTCACCGCAGCTGCGTGTCGACATTGTGCGGTTAACCGCAGACGACAGCGACGCTGTGGAGGCGGATGACATGGCGGCCGATGATGAACCGATCGAAGGTGACAGTTCGTTGTGGCTGAGCCGCATTTTGTGGTCGACGCTGCCAGGCGTCGGAGTGCTCTCACGGCGCCCATTTCGCAGTTGCACATTGTGGGGGTCGTTACTGTTGTTATTATTGTTATTGACATTGACCGAAGTCGCGGTGGCGACTGGCATCATCGGCGCCAGCGGTGTGGTTGTCACCGTGGCTATAGCCGAGGCGGGCGGTGGGCGCTCCGGTGTGAGTTCAAGCGACTCCTTTGTATTGGAATGCGGTAAAGTGGCGATCGCTGGATCGTCAACTGGCTCATGATTGGCGTTCTTCGAACGTGGTTTGTACTGTTCAGCGGCATCGGAAATGTGCTTGAACCACCTGCAAGGTAATTAGAACAATAAAATGTTGGTGAGTATACATAAAAATGAGTAATAGTTGAGGTAGAGCAGCTCAAAAGTAGAAAGAGCTGTGTTTGCGTCGCGACTCTCTATGCTGAGTTTATAACCCATGATTTAATACTTTTTCAAAACCAAAATTACCTTATTTACATATGTACATACTAACTAAATAAATATATACATACATATGTAGAATAAATTCTTACACAAAAATGTTTAAATTTTTTTCGCACTACCTTGACACCAACGACGCACGTCGACCGCCGCTCGTGCCATTGGCGTTGCTGCCGCTATTGGCGGTGGCCTCATTGAAGCTGCCACGTCGGCGTTCCTTTTTGCTTTGGCCTTTGCTCGGCGTCACATTGAGGCTATTGTTGTCGCCGGTGTTGTGATTGCTGCTGTTTTTACCGCTGGATAGTTGTAGTAGTGAACCATTGCAAAGGCTCTTGCGTCGCACACCACTGAATATGTCATCGGGCGAGAGGAAATTCATGGTTCACTTGAGTTGGATGTGGTTATTTAACGGCCTCTAGCGCGTGGTTTTGCCGGAAATTGGTGATTTTGCCCACAGGCAAATGTTGCAAGAAAAACAAATATTGAACCCGCCAAACAACCGGGGGCGAAAAAATGTACAGCAAATGCTGCGCTGCTCACTTTAAAACACTTTGAATGTCGACCATCATTTAAGGTGCTTACATTTTTTTTAGATACATTTCTTTTGCTGACGATTATTTTATAACGAATTTGATTCACTTCGATTAAATTTCTGGTAGAAATATTTTTATTTGATTCTAATTCGTTTAAAATTAAAAAAATTGCAAGCATTTTTAATTTTCGAAAAAAAATAGTTTTTGGTACAGACAGACCTCTGCGCCACCCCCACTCCACGTTTAAGTAAATAACCTTCAAATCTTTGACACAAAAATTTATAAGCGTATTGAGTCGTTTTATGGTATATTTTCACCTTTTTCGACTAATACTGGATTTCAATTAGGTATTAAATGGCAAAAAGTGTAATAGCAAAGTTAGACATTAAAAAATATTCGTGTTATAATAATAGCCATTAAGTTCATTTCCACATGGCATGTTTTAAATGTTACCAAGTTGTGGTCATTTCAGTACCTAGTGGAAATTCGGCATTATAATAAAACATTTTTTTGGAATTTTTTTAACAGACAGGTACATCCCTCTGAACACTTTCTGAATTGGTTTTTGCTTCTTCTGTATCTATTTTTCATTTCTGTAGAGGTTTCTTGATTGGCACTGAGACCGCCTAAACAAGTTCGGTCGGGTTCAATAAATCCTGCCAATCATTTCTTTTTCCAGGAGTAAAGTGAGTTTCGAAAGCAGTATTTAATTTCCGAAAGTCGAACTTTCTGATACTACGTTTTGTCTGTTTAGCTGGTGAATGAAGTAAATTCCACTTACAACTGTGTTACCAGACACTTTTATGCTTAAATATAAAAAAATGAAGGGCCTGATAATATTACTAAAACGCTAAAATGTGTACAAACCAGCCAGAAAAGGTCTAATGTATTAAACCGACGAGTATAAATTAATTTTAAGTATTTTTGATGCTTTTTTCATCATTTTTATTATTGTATTTACGTAAATTGGGTAGCACTCGATTGGTTTTACAACACTTTCGGCAAAAATAAAAATTGCTGGTGCCGCACGAGCAAGTTGAAATTAGTTGCAGTTACACCTTGCAATTTTTATTTCTAAAAGAAATTTCAGCAAATTTGCATTTTGGTTTTTTACACAGATAAGTGGATTTCCGAATTCGCTTTTCGACTTCAAAATGCGTAGAAAAAGCGCATGCATTGCTACGTTTAACCAGACTTTTACATGTGGTCTAATGTACATATGTACTGCATCACTCCCCATCAAAAAAAAAAAATCGGTACTGTGTTTCCATTCGAATTTAAAAATCTATTATATTTTAAGACGCCCACCAAAATATTTCGGGAAAAATATTAAGGTTTACGTGAGCTGGACCGATTCGAAAATACCTCCAAATATTGAGGGTTTTTTTTATAAATAAAAATAGTTTCTTAAAGATTTTTTTTCCAAAAATCTCCTCAAATGACAAAACGGTTTAAGCTTATAAAGCTTGCATAAAAATATTTTTAAAAAATTTAAAAAGAATTTTGAACGGAGTCGTAATAATCAGACTTTTGATGCTGTTTTTTTAATTTTTTCAGAGATTGGTATAAGAAAAACTTGAATAACTGAACCTTAACTCTTCCGATTGGATGTCATTGGAAAGGTATTTTCTCACCCTTTTTATTTCTTTGCTAATAAACTCATTGAAACGATGCAAGAGAAAGGTAGGATGAACGAACGTCATTCAAGGTGAATTAAGATGTGTTGGTATTTGGAAACAAAAATTGGGACACGAACGACTTTTTTTTGGACAAAAATAAATCATCTAAATCAGAATAGTTTTGGCCCAATTATTCAAGATTTTAGTAAATCAATCTTTGAAAAAAGTAAAAAAAAACAACAATAAAAATCTCATTATTACGATTCCGTTGAAAATATTTTTATGCAGATTTTTTAGGCTTAATCTGTTTTGACATCTGAGGGGACTTTTTTCAAAAAGTTCTTTAAGAAACTTTTTTATTCATAAAAAACTCCATTTTTGGAGGTATTTTCAAATCGGTCCAGCTCACTTAAATCTTAATATTTTTCCGAAAGATTTTGGTGGACGTCTTAAAATATAATAAATTTTGTAATCCCGGCGGGAAAAAGGCAATTTTTTTTTGGTGATGCAGTCTAATGTACATGTATCCACAAAAAAAAAATCACTACAAATGTAACAATAAATGAAACAGACGGAAATTCTCTTTGTCAGCTACCAAACAAATATGTAAATGAAAACAAGAAATCAAATATTTATGAAGTTACAGAATTTTTGGATGCATACACATACATACATATGTGCAATATGTATATGTACAAGAATATGTAGTTGCCATATTGTGTTGAAAGTACACGCATGTACTTCGCGAAGTGATAAAAGTGTAAAGTACATTCATACAAATGTACATATCTACAAACACATGTATGTATGTATATTTTTTTAATTTTCGTTTTGATGCTGAATTATATGTACATGTCTAAATGTTCTAGTAGTATTTCTGCATCAAAAGGAACATTTTTGCAAAAAAATATCGCTTAGGTACGTTTTTCCCGTTTTTATGGCTCGATATGTTTAATTGACGCAGCGTGCGTCGCACTTCGACCCAACAACGCAAATGGCTTGAATGATATTTTATTTACGTGAATATCGATTTATGAAGAGATTCAATAAAAAATAAAAACAGGTAGAATCAATAAATATGTAAAAAATTATCCCACGCTATGTGATTATCTTTCTTTTTTGTCAACGTATCACTTGTTTGTGCGATTTTGTATGGGAATTATGAATGCATAAAATAATAATTAAACGCATCGTCGATTATGCGATGGCTTTAATGCAATTTCTTAATTCATTCATTCATTTACGCATTGACTAAACGCGATATCGCAGTTCAATGGACGCATTTATCTATGCCACGGATTTTTCTTTCACCAGTAGCAGCAGCAGCGGGAAGCGCGGATGGTTGCGGTTGGCAGCGAGAGATGAGCAACAGCTGCAACAGCCGCAGCGCTATTTAATAACTTTGCACAAATTTGATTTAAATGGTTTTCAATGTTTCAATGTGAATGTGCCCATTATTTGCAGGAAATTGGAATTCGTTGTTTCATTTGTGGTTATCACAAGAACGAGTTTTTGCAATAGATGCGGTCTACTCGCATATATGTACATACATATGTATGTATCTATGTGTGCACATTTGAACTCTGGAATTGGCCTTTGTTTTTGACTTTGATACGGTAAAATTTACCAATACGAACACATCAATTAGAATGATTCCATCGAAATGCATTGCTGTTCATTTTTTAATTAAGAATGCATCCATACAAAACTGGTGTCGATAAGATATCCGATATATACTTCGATAAATAATATCATCAAATACATATGCCGATAAATATATGGATATAACATGATAACAATAAATTGTCTATGAAAATTAAAAAAAAGGTGTTTTTGAAGGTTTAATTTAACGATAACCATTAAACCGTAACAAATTCGTCAGATCTGGCAACACTATTATAAAAATGCTCAGCCCGGTTTATCATATTACACTTTAAATAGATAACGCCAGTAACGCTTGCAAATTGTGCTAATTTATTTTGAAGATCTTGGTTCGCTTCAGGAATGTTACCGTACGCAGAGGTGTCGTAGAATGCACATCGAAGAAGCCGTTATTGAGGTTATAGAGCGTAGTAATGAGGAGGACTCAAATGAGTTGATTCGCCATGGCGCGCAGCAATTAAAGCTGTGTTCACTAGTCTACTTGCCCCACTCGAAATCGATGTAAACGAAAATCCTGCCTCGATCGTAAATCGTTGACAGAAACTGAAGGCCTTACATCAGACATTTTGTAGGAGATGGAAAGTGGAATACCTCACCGAAATGCAGAAACGTATTGAGTGGAAACATCCACAAGGGGACCTGGTCGTCGTTAAAGAGGAAAACCTGCCCCCAAACTAATGGAGACTGGGGAGAATCGTCAAGCTACACCCAGGTTCCGAGAACCGAGTTAGTGTAGTCGAAGCGAGACAGCTAAGGGAGAAATCAGAAGACCAATTGCAAAATTGGTCCCACTTCTACCCAGCAACGAAAGTAGCACAGCTTCGCAGTAAAATTCTAACCTACTCTTCATTCAATAAAAAAAAAACAGCTATTCCTACATCATCCCATATCTCAAACCGCAAGCAGACGCGCCTAAACAACTAGAGTGGTCCACAGATGCATGTGAAAAAAATAAAGTCCCAATTTTAATGTTCCCACCCCCTAGGATTGTTCTATATAGAAAATATATACCCCTGTTTTTTTGAATGCAAACAATATTCCATGTATTTTAG